TGAGAAAGCCAAGGATAGAAGCTTGGTGGACATCAACATTTTAACGAGACAGAGGAACAAGAAACTGCAAAGAAATAGTCACATAAATAGCAAGAACAAGACTATTGCAAGAATTTATAGAAGGGTCAAGTATGATACTAAAAAAATTACCCTTGGATTTGGCAATTAGTTACACACTGGTGAGCAGTTTCAATGGAATTGTGGGGGGTAGAAGCCTGATTAAGAGGGACTGAAAAGTAACTGGGAGGTGAGGAGATGGAAAATGTCTATACTATAGAGACAGTTCTTCAAATTTCAGTTCCAGCCTTTCCTGCTGAGTGACCATTGAAAAGTCACATAATTTCTGTGTATCTTAGTTCCTTTATCTATAAAATGGAGTTAGTAGTACCCTCCCCATATAGTCGCTTTGAGGATTTAGTAGTTAATATGTGTAATTTTTAATATGTGTATTTATAACAAGGCCTGTAATAATAAGCACTCAATAATAAGCACTCAATAAATGCTGTTATCGTTATCCTTAGTATCATCATCTTCAGGGAGCTTGGACCTGAAGGCAGAGTGATAGTAAGTAGATGAGGATGTGGAATTGTGGGAAGTGTATTTTTTCCCTTAAGATTAAAAGACACGTGCTGTATGAAAACCAGTTCTCTATCTCTATTTTACACTGTAATTCTAATTACCTGCCCGTATTTAGAATGCTGTGCTGAAGAAGTTTTTGTTTTAACAAAGTCATAAATACAAATAATTTAGAGTCTAAGTCCTACAAGACATATTATGGAAAAGCACAGTCCCTAACCACCAACCTGTTTCTCACATGGCCCAACAGGGAAGGAGCCAGGAGAATAAATGCATCAGCTTCCCTCTCCTCCTGCCCTCTATCCTTGCAGTGTTTGTCACTTTAGCGCAATCGGAGGTAGAGGGCAAGGGAGCCTGATTGATGTAATTCATAAGACTGGCCTCCTGGACCACAGAGAAGGGTAGAGTGAATCTGGAATGACAAAATATCAAGCCCCATAGTTTGGATTTCCATGAGCACTTTAATTTCCTGTATGCTTTTTTTTTTTTAAATATAGCATCCTATTCCTGTATGGTAGATGCAGTTTCTTTTTTATATCACTCAGAATTTTTTTTCTTCTTCAAGCACAGGCTCTGTTTTGTTCAAGTTGCTATTTTTCTCTTCTTTTTATTTTTTCTTTAAGACTGAGTCTTGCTCTGTCACCCAGACTGGAGTACAGTGTGGCACACTCATGGCTCACTACAGCCTTGAACTCTTGGGCTCAAGTGATCCTTCTGCCTCAACCTTTCAAGTAGCTGGGACTACAGGTGCACGCCACCATACCCAGCTAAGTTTTAAATTTTTTATTGAAATAGGGTCTCCTGTTGTTGCCTAGACTGGTCTCAAACTCCTGGCTCAAGCGACCCTTCCACCTTAGCCTTCCAAAGTGCTGGAAATACAGGCATGAGCCCCTGCAACCAGCCAAGTTAGTTTTTTTTCTATTCATCTTGGTTTCTTTCATATTAAGAGACTTTCCTCACTTATCTGCCCATATTTAACTGTGAAGCACTAAAAGTTGATTAGGAGCTTTGTGTATGTGGCGGGTGCTTGTCATCTCAGATTTTTATTGTAGGCTGATTTGGCTGGCTGTGTCATTGGGAACCCTCAACATCTGTCTCATGAAATCTTTTCTTTGAGGCTGGTTGAATTCCCCAGAGAATATTCTTCCCACATCTTGAAGAACAGGTGCCTGGTTCTGGCATTGTGAGAAGCCAGGTTAGGGGAAGAAGGTTGGAAGTCTCAGCATTAAGTCATCTTTCATTACCCCAGCCAGCATGCCTTTGTGCTCTTTGTGCTCTTTCTGATACTTGCCCTCACTTCAGGCTGTCCAGAGATCCTTGTGTTTCATCTTATCAGGAGAATACATCTCAGTCATCTGCAGGAGTCAGGGAAGGAGAAGTCTGCAGTCTGTTTCTAAAACAGCTTTGATCAATCCTCTGCCGTGTCCCTCCTTCATTCGACTTCAAAACCTGTTTAAGTTTCCTACTCTTGGCTTTTACTATTACCAGTGTAAGGTTCAAATATCCTCAGTATGCTAAATTAGTTATCACTTGTCTGTCTGTGGCCACTTATTTTTGTCTCTAGTTCTCTTTGTGCCTGTGAGATAATGCCTTTACTTGTTTTTATTTTAGTAGGTTTGGGGAAGGAGCAGAGGCTAATACATGCAATTAACCTGCCATGTTTAACTACAAATTTGTATATAATTTTGTAAGAAAAGTAAGAGTTTTATTGTAAATGTTATTTATTGATATCTGATCATATATCAGTGGTCTCAGTGACAGCAACAACCAAGCACCTTGATGCTCAGTGGACCCTGAAGGGTCCAGGACATCAATGTTTCTATCTATATCTCCTTGTTGGGAGCACCAGACACCATAGCTGATGGCTCCAGCAAGTCTTGAGGCCAAGAAATGTTGGGAGAGAAACAATAACAAAAAATTTTAGGCCGGACACAGTGGCTCACGTGTGTAATCCCAACAATTTGGGAGATCGAGATGGCCAGATCGCTTGAGGCCAGGAGTTTGAGACCAGCCTGGCCAACATGGTGAAACCCCGTCTCTACAAAAATACAAACATTAGCCAGGTGTGGTGCTGCACACCTGTAATCCCAGCTACTATTCAGGAGGCTGAGGCATGGGAATTGCTTGAGCCCGGGAGGTGGAGGGTGCAGTGAGCCAAGATCATACCAACTGCACTCTAGCCTGGGCAACAGAGCAAGACTCTGTCCAAGAAAAAAAAAAAATTCTGGATTTTTTTTCTTGCTTATTTTTATTACTATTCACGGTTTTTTTAATGTATTTATTTTTGCGTATACAGGTTAGCAACTGCCCTCCTTACCAAGGAGTCCTCCAGCTGCCTGACAAGTACCTCCAGGTCCATCCTTTGTCAAATAACACTCATCTCGCCTGCATTGTGACTGTACCAATAAATTACACCCTGCCTGGATTTCAAGGGAGATTCCACTGTGAACCTACACATACATTCTTCATATCATGATTCCTTAAATCACTTAAGGGTTCCTAAGGAAAAAAATGGCCAAAGTTATCATAGTAGAACTGATGGTAAAATGCATTCCCTCCTCTCCCATTTGCGTGTCTGTTTAGTATATAAAAGTAAACACGCATACACGTATGACACACAAATACATACTTGATTTTTAAATTATGTTTGGTTTTTTTGTAATTCCTGTTCTTGGATTTCTGTGTATTGATGGAGAAATCAGAAAAAGCAGGCCAGGTGGCTCACACCTGTAATCCTAGCACTTTGGGAGTCTGAGCCAGGAGGATCGCTTGAGCCCAGGAGTTTGAGACCAGCCTGGATAACATAGGAAGACCCATCTTTACCAAAAATTACAAAAATTAGTCGAGTTTAGTGGTGCATGCCTATGGTCCCAGCTACTTGGGAGGCTGAGGTGGGAAGATCTCTTTGACCTGAGAGGTCAAGGCTGCAGTGAGTTGTGACCACACCACTGCACTCCAGCCTGGGTGACAGAGTGAGACCCTGTCTCAAAAACAACAACAACAACAAAAAATAACTGATAGAGCCTAATGAAAATCTATTTTATTCCCTGAGGCAGCTATAAGTTTGACTGCCTGTCACATTCACCACAGCGGTTTTCCTGTCTCTAAGCCTTTATCTAAATTTTCAACTCACCTCCCAGTCCTATCACTCCATAGACATTACTTATTACTCCCCTAAGAAAATCAAAACTATTCAACCTGGGCTCTCTTGCCATTCTCTTTTGCTGCTTTCTCTAGTTTTCTCTTTATTTCATCCATTATCTTTTTCTCCTTCCTATGTTAGAGGAATGGTTTTCCTTTTCTTAGGCTGAGCACCCCCCACCCCAATACCTACACACGATAGCAGAGAGAACAGTATGTACAAAGGCCTGGGAGCTTGAAAGAGCAAAGTTGTGGAAAAATACAGATTTTCCTTTGTGGACAAGTGGGCTTTAGAGTTAAACAGGCCTGGTTTGAATGCCAGTTCTTCTGTACCACTTCCTACTTAAACGACCTTGAGTTCACTTCTCTCATCACACTTCATTTTCCTTATCTTTAAAGTGATGAGGCTCACACCTATAATCTCAGCACTTTAGGAGGCCAAGGCAGGTGGATTACCTGAGGTCAGGAGTTTGAGACCAGCCTGGACAACATGGCCAAACCCCGTCTCTTAAAAACACAAAAGAAATTAGCCTGGCGTGGTGGCAGGCACCTATAATCCCAGCTACTCAGGAGGCTGAGTGAGGCAGGATAATAGCTTGAATCCAGGAGGCAGAGGTTGCAGTGAGTGGAGATCACATCACTGCACTCCAGTCTGGGTGACAGAGCAAGATTCCGTCTCAAAATAAATGAATAAATAAATAAATAAATAAATAAATAAATAAATAAATAAAGTGAAGAAAATGCCAGCTACTTCACAAGGTTATTGGGAGGTTTCATAGCATATGGTAAGCTCTCAATAAATGGTAACTGTTCTTGCTGTTATGGCTGGAGTAAAACTATGACAGTAGTTCCTCTTAAAATAAGGATTTACTTATTCCTAGAATAAGCATTTGTTCATATTTATGCCTCTTACATTAACTATGAATATAAGCCCTACAAGGTCAGGAACTCTGTCCTCATCTTTATGTTTTAAACACGTACCACATGCGCAACATATAAAGTAAATGTACATTATGTGTTGAATGAATGAATGATGTAGCCTAATATATATTGATTGAATTGATAAAGTAAACTCACTTTTTTTCCAGCTTCCTGTGGATAATTAAAACCTTCCAAAGATTTTCAGATCACATTGTTAGGAATTTGCTTCCTTCCTGTTACACTATTTACAAATACTGGCTTTTAGCACATTACCTTTGCATGTTAGACTTGAGTGAAAGTATGGGTGTGTTTTTTAACATGTCACCAATAATAGTTAATTAATTGGCTCTTTTTTTCTTTCCTTCAGGGAGGTGGTACAAGCAAACTGTGTTCGCTGGAGAAAGAAGTTCTCATTTATGTGCAAAATGAGTGCAAGTGCTGCCACAGGCATCCTAGATCCTTGTATCTACAGAGTGTCTGTGAGGAAGGTATAAAAATAGCCTATTATTTCTTCCCTTTCAGGAACCATAATTAGTTCCATAGTCACTAGCTTGCTTTGTTTAGCTCTGCTTTATCTTTTTCATTAGAACTATATATGCAGTTTCACTTCACACTTGCTGTGGTAATTAAAATACCGTGGTAAATATGATGAAGAATCTGAGGTTATAAATTACAATTATTATTCAAGAATCTTCATCTCACTATACATATAAGTATTAATCTTATTTGTATTAGTTTGGGGACTATATATATCTATATCCACTATTTGTTAAATACCTAGTTTTTATTAGGCATTGTTCTGGGAACTTTATGTGTAATATATCCAGTAACCCTGAAATTAGGTGTTATTTTCTCCATTTTCAGGAAAACCAGCGCTCAGAGAAGTTACTTGCCCAAATTTACATAGTTAATAAATGGCAAAGTAGAGACTCAAACAGAGTTTTCTGATTCCAAGTTTGTTTTCTTTCCTGTATATTGTCTTTCCCAGTGTTAGGTTGAAGCAAATTACCAATAATCTTAAAAAAATGGTAATTTCATATGGTTCAACTTTGTGTGTGTGTGTATTTTTGTATGTATGCATATGTTTTACTTACCAAAATAATACATATAATGGTCAAAAATTAAATAGAGAAGAAGGATTTAGAATGAAAGCAAGAGTCTCTGGCCTTGCTGTTTTCCACGCCAGAAGGACGCCAGTTCTGCATCCTTCTGTATCAGAATACCATTGCCATGGTATTTTAAGTATTATATGAAATACTTAATATGATATACTAAATAATATTTTAAGTATTATATAAAAGAAGCCATAAAAGAAAAATTAGTAAACTCAACCATATAAACACTTTATGCATTGCAAAATATAACATAAACAAAGTCTTAAATTAGGGGAAAATAGTCACAAATTGTGACAAAGGACGACTTTCCTTAGTATAGAAAGAGCACCTTCAAATAAATTAATTTTAAAAATCAACAACCCTTTAAAAAAATAGGCAAGGGGCAGAATAAACACTTCACAAAAAACTATAAATAGCTTTTAAACATAAAAATATGCTGAGTCTGACACAAATTAAAACTACAAATTAGATACCATTTTTTACCTATAAAGTTGACAAAAATAAGTTTGATAGTGCACTCTGTTGCCTAGGACACAGGGAAGCAATCAGTGACCAGCCAATGGTACTATTGCAGGCACTGGGAGGACAGTGGTGAACTGGAATGAGTTTCTGCCCCCAAGGACTTTACTTTCTGGATGGAGTTGGGGGAGGTGTGATAGGAAAGACAGAGACCATAAACATGTAGCCAAATAAGATTATTTGAGCTCATGATAACTTTTATGTGTAGGAAACAATTCAGTAATGGAGAATAGCTTGGGCAAAGGAGATTATTTTAGAGAACTGAGGCAGGAGTCAATGAAGACTTCTCTGAAAGAACATTTGAAGAAGAGGCAACCATGTAAAGGTCTAGGGAAAGGCCATTCTAAAGGAGTAGGACCTGAAAGCAAGAAGTCCCTGTATTAGTTTCCTAGGACTGCTATAACTAAATAGCACACTCTGGGTGGCTTTAAACAACAGAAACTTATTGTCTGAGTTATGGACAACAGAAGTTCAAAGTCAAGGTGTCAGCAGGGCCATGCTCCCTCTGGAGGTGCTGGGGGAGAAACTCACACCTCTTGCCTAATGTCCAGCAGCCTCAGTCATTCATTCCTTGACTTGTGGATACATTATTCCATTCACATGATTGTTTTCTCCCTTTGTGTCTTCACATCATTTTCCCTCTGTGCATGTCTGTTTCTCTGTCAAAATTTCCTGTTTTTATAAGGATACCAGTCATACCGGATTAGGACCTCATTTTAACTTGAGTACCTGTATGAAGACCCTATTTCTGGCCAGGCATGGTGGCTCACACCTGTAATCCTTGAAGTTTGGGAGGCTGAGGCAGGCAGATTGCTTGAGCCCAGGATTTCAAGACCAGCCTGGGTCACATGGAGAAATCCCATCTCCACAAGGAATACAAAACTTAATCAGGTGTGGTGGCACGCACTTGTAGTCCCTGCTACTTGTGAGGCAGAGGTGGGAGGATCACCTGAGCCCAGAAGGCTACAGTGAGCCGTGGTCATGCCACTGTACTCCAGCCTGGATGACAGAGCCATACCCTGTCTCAAAAAAAAAAAAAAAAAAAAAAAAGACCCTACTTCCAAACAAGGAAACATTCTGAAGTAAGGACTTCATGTCTTTTTTTGGATTAGGGAGACAGGGGACATAATTCAACCCATACCAGGCCCTACAGTATAATAAACATGGAGATTATTTTAATACTTCTGAAATTAATGGACTAGCTTGTTGCAGACCACCGCTCCCTCTAAAAACTATTAGAAAAGCTAGACAGAATATCCAAAACAGCTGCTTGAAGGCGTCGGAAGCTACTGAGGTAGTCAGGACTTGAGGGGCTTAGAATCCATAGGGAAGGGAAGCATAAAGATAAGCCTGACATTTGGCATTGCTTTTACCCTCAAAGCATTTTTTGATTTGCAAGTAGTGGCAAAGAAGCTGCGCACAAAAGAATGAGCAGTGAAGACACTAAGTTGAGATTGCAGCAATCTTACAGGTCTAAAGGAACAAAAACTGGAATCTGGGGACCACCAGGGAGGAGGGGCCTTGGTAAACACCTCAGGTTTTCAGTTGGGACTCACTCTCTAAGAGTTTCAACCTACTAGGAAGAGTGTAACACATACAGATCAGCCTTACAAAGACTGAAACCCAGCCTCCAGTCAGCTCAATCCCTTCTTAGATGAAGGTGATCTGCCTCTTCCTTACTACTTGCCAAAAGCAAATGTATGCCTTCTCCTATCACTCTGAACCTCAAATTATTTCTTCAAGTTTTCATACACAGTTATCAAGCATATAAAGAGACATGACTACTTGACCAAAAATCAAAAGGAAGAGTATATGATAAAAAGCGACCTATGGAAGATACAGATTTTGGAAAGATCAAAGACAAACGTTTACAATAACTATAATTAGTGAACAAGATGGAGAATTTCATCAGAGAGCTAAAATTGTTTTAAAAAAAAAAGCAAATTCTAAAACTGAAAAGTACATTAACTAAAATTTAAAGCTAAGTAAATGAATAAAACTTCAACAGATGGATTTAACAGCAGGTTTACCATAACTGAAGAGAGCATTGGTAAATTGGAAAATAAGACAGAAGAAAATATTCAGGCGAAATCACAGAGAGAACAAGGGTGGAATACACAAGAAAGAAGGTAAGACATGTAGGAGACAGTAGAAAGGTCTAACTGTATAAACCCTAGGAGGAGAGACAAGTGAGTGTGACTGAGAATCTTCTAAAACTGATCAAAGATATCAAACCACAGATTCAGAAGTACTGTGAACCCTATGCAGTGTAAACAGCAAGTCTGGCATGTTTAAATGACAAGACCAGCCTAGCTGCGGCGTGGGAAACAGAGAGGCAAAGTTCTTGGTAGTGGGATTGGATGCACTAGATCAGGCCGGGCCTTATGAAAAGTTTACATCTAATTATAATTGGAAGTATTGGAGGATTTTAATAAGGAGAGACATCATCTTCTGTAAGATCACTTTTGCTGCTGTGTTAGATGAATCACAGAGACCACTTAGGTGTTTTCTGAAAGTTGAAGGGAGAAGTGCTTATGTTTTGACATAGAGTTACAACATATAAATGGTCATTATTGTGCAGCCAGATATCCAACTAAAAATAGAGGATTCTGTTACTATGGAGTGGGGGGAAATGGATGATTGGGATATGACTAGCATTCTTTCTACAGAGGTTGAGTGAAGGAATAGCTCCAGCAAACGAGAGTGAGGAGTTGCCAACGAGGTAGGATTAAAACCAGGCAATTGTGGTACTGTGGAAGTTTAGCAAAGAAAATGATGCAGCAAAGGAGGTGGAGTGGCCAAGCCTGTCACCTACCGCTGAGATGTTGAATAAGATGAAGACCGGGAGCCTTTGGCTTTAACAAAATGAAGATCATTGGTAATCTTAAGAGCTATTACAAAGGGCTGAGCACACCTATAATCCCAGCAATTTGGGAGGCCGAGGAATGAGGACTGCTTAAGACCAGAAGTTTGAGACAAAACTAGGCAACATGGCAAGACCCCATCTCTCCAAAAAAAAAAGAAAAAAGAAAAAAAATTAGCTGGGTGGGGTGGCATGCACCTGTAGGCTTAGCTACTCAGAAGGCTGAGGTGGGAGGATCTCCTGAGCCCAAGAGTTTGAGGTTTCACTGAGCTATGGTCATCCCACTGCACTCCAGCCTGGTTGACAGAGAGAGACCCTGTCTCTAAGAAATAAAATAAATAAAAAATGAAAAAGAACTATTGCAGAGGGAAAATAAGGATGAAAGCCCAATTGGAGTGGGTTGAATAGAGAGTAGGATATAGCAAATATAGATAAGTCTTTTGATGAGTTTGGCTATAGAGGGGAGCAAATAAAAGAATTAGTTAGCAGAAACAAGGATCATCTGGAGAAAATTTTGTTTTCTTAAGGAAAGGCACTATTAAAGAATATGACAGTCATCTAATGAAAATGCGATCATTCATAATGGGGTAGATGTAATAGCATGGCCACACCTGAAATCAGTGAAGCAGGGAAGGGGAGGAACAGCAAATATTCATGAATGATAATAGAGTTTATCATAGATTGTTCCTTAACATATTTGTATTCACCGCTTGAAAGATGGAAATGATAAATAATGCATTATGTATCTGATTTATGCAAAAAAGATGAGACAACACCATCCAGCAGATGCATTTTTAAAAGTAGGTAGGGAGTGGGGAGTTTGGCCCTAATAATGACAAAGACATATATACAAACACATACCATGTGCTAGGTATTGTCCTGAGTGTTTTACACTTAATTCTCACAGCTGTGCGAAAACAAGTCTAAAGATTTGACGAATTTATGTACAGTGACATATTTTAAGTTAAAAAAGACATGTATCTATTTTTTTTTTATTATTTTCACTTTGGTCAACCTTGTTCACCTTAGGTAAGAGGGTTTGCACTATACTAAATGTACACTTTTACATGCATAGAGTATCTCTTCAGTGATTCATAAAAACTAGTTGTCCCTGGGGGGTGGTTTCAAGTCCTGTTGAAATCTTTCTATACCATATTAGTATGCTTAACTGAGTAAATAATTTAACCTTTCTTTGGTGATTCAGGTTTTTGCAGTGAGTCCACAACACTTTTTGACCATTTCTTCTTCAGCAAATAGATAAAATATTAGCTTATGTTCTCACCATTTGTCTCATTTAGATTAAAGTGAAATGCTAAATAAAAATTCTGGTCATTTGGGGGGCTTGTGGGAGTCTTAAATAGTTGGATTTAAGATCATCAGAATTTTACTGTCTATGATATTTTCCAGCATATATATGTCTACTTCAGAATTATTTGACATACTTATTTTTAAATCTTTTATTATATGATATCCTTACAGTATTTTATGTCGTTGGCAGGAATTAAAAGGTGGAAAAGCTTATGCAAAGGTAAGCAGAGGTTCTTTAACTGCTTTGGAACGTGTAATGTTGCTTATTGCTATTTATAGGCTTAAAAATTAAATTGTTTACTCTTCTAATATCTGTTCAAGCTTGTCTCTTTTTATATAAAGCAACTTGGAGATTGAACAGTTGGATCTAACAGTAAATTATAGGCATAATCTTTCTAAATGCTGATTATGGAATGTTATTCTTTAGATTCAGCCTCCCTGCTCTAGAGGATGATCTCTACTTTGCATTAAGCCATAGCATGTGATAATTCAAAGGATCTCACCTGGGAAGTGTGGCCAGGCCCACCTCCCCCCACTGTAAGAGGACCTGTCCTTTTTGCTGTCTTAGCACTCTGTGTATACATGATAAGTACTGCTGGTTTTTACTTTTGCTAGCTCTGTGGAATTACTAGTGGATGTGCTCACCTGTTTGCTGACTAGAAGGATTTAGTAACAACATTACCAAAAACTCACATAGTCCTTTTTTACTTCCAGTCTCTGTGAATGGTACCTCCATCAATCCAGTCACCTGAACTGAGAGATTGTACACTAGTCTTTTTTTTCCCTAACTTTCTAAATTTTGTTTCTTATTTTTGTAGACATGGGGTCTTGCTATGTTACCCAGGCTGGTCTCGAACTCCTGGCCTCAAGTGATCCTCCTGCCTTGGCCTCCCGAAGTGCTGAGATTACAGGCATTAACCACCTTGCCTGGCCCCTGTACATTAGTTTTAACCTCCATATTTACTGAACACCCTAAATCTAGTTGGTTGCAATGCCAGGATGTTCTTTGTTAAAGTAATAGAAAACCTTCCTCAACTAGAGATTTTTTTAATATTACAAAACAAGGAGATGTGAGATAGACTTGCTCCAGAACTGGTCAATCCGCTGACTGAAGAACATCATCAAGAAGTCATTATTTTTCTCTTTCCATTCTGCCATTCTCTATGTGACGACTTTGTTCTTGGCCAGCTCCCCTTCTGGACACCAGCTGGCTGGCTGCTTAATTTTAAGTCAACACATTCACGTATGACAAAAATCCAGCTGCTTCTCCCTGTATTACATTTTTTTGAGTGAGCAAACATTTTCTAGATGACCCTCAGAGGGTTTTCCCATACCTTTCATTGGCTGGAACTGGATTATACGCCCACCCTAAACTGGTTGTGGGCAATCGGAATGGATTGCCATGGTTAGCTTAAACTAATCACAGTCTAACAGTGAGCTAGGGTTTGGGTTTCCTTCCTTGTACACATGGATGAACTGAGACTGGACACCTGAATAAAACCAGGGTTTTGTGACTGGGCGTGGTGGCTCATGCCTGTAATCCCAGCACTTTGGAAGGCCATGGTGGGAGGATCACTTGAGCCCAGGCATTCATGACCATCCTGGACAACATGGTGAGACCCTGTCTCAGTAAATAATTAATTAATTAACTAATTAAAAATAAATCAAGGCTTTGCTATCAAGGAATAGGAGGGCATTGATTCTGGGCTAGGCAGACAACAAGGTCTGCTGTAGTTGACCTGTCCTCTTCATTTTTTCCCTCTAAAAAGGTCTTGAAACCATACCTTCTCTCCATTCCCAGGGCCACTGCCTCAGGTTATGCCTTCCTTATTTTTTATTTACAGCCTGCACTGGCCTTCTGTCTAGTCTCTCTGTCTTTGTTATCTCCTTCCATCCTCCATATTATTGCCAAAGTCATCTTTCTAAAATTAAAACGTGATCATATCATTCCCCCATTTTTAGTCCTTTAGCAGCTATTCATTGCTTATAAAGGAAAATGAAAATTTCTTAACCTGGCGTGTGAGACACACCTTGTCATCTCTACTGTCATCTGCACATGAACACACACATACACACTCATACACTCATCCTTATGCCTCACACATACCACCCTCACAAACCTCCTGGAGTATCCCATGCTATCTTATCCTTTTGCTTTGTAACTTGATGTCTTTTCCTACCATTTTTATATTTCTCCCTCCTCTTGTCCTGTCAACTCATGTATCATTAAAGACTTAGCTTAGTCATCCCTCCCCACTAAGAACTTTTCTTTTCCTCTGTTTCTTGTAACTGTCTCCCTCTATCACAGTACTTTCACACTGCATTAAGGAATCTGTTCACTTTTCTGTCCTCCCCTATTAAACTGTAAGAGTAGGAATGACTTCCATATTACCTGAAATGTAGATGCTGAAGATTATTTCATGAATGAATTAATATCTGTGACAAATACAGCTAGTTTTTATGTATATATGCCATTTCATGAGACAGTTACTCAGTGAAGCCAAAGAAAAAGTCGTAAGGAAACATAGACTTTCTGGTTCTTCACTAGAATGTAAGCTCTTTGAAAGCAGAGTAGATGTCCTATTCATCACTGTTTCCCAGTGTCTACAACTGGGTCTGTCATATAAAAGATGCTTGATAATATTGACTTCACTCATTAGTAACTGTTAGCCTGAAATATCACATTGACATGCCCCACCTTTTAATATACTTTCTTAATAGGGGCTGTCTTAGTTAGTTTGGGATGCTATAGCAGATTACCATAGATTAGGTGATTTAAACAACATTTATTTCCCACAGTTCTGGAGGCTGGGAAGTCCAAGATCAAGGTGCTGGTGGATCCAGTCTGTTGAGGGCCTGCTTTCTGCTTTGCAGATGTCTGTCATCTCGTGGTGTCCTCAAATGGCAGAGAGCAGAGAAAAAGGAAGCAAGCTCTCTTGTGTCTTTTTAAAAGGGCATTAATCCATTCTTGAGGACTCCACTCTTGTGACCTAATTACCTCTCATAGGCCCTGCCACCTAATACCACCCTTTCGGGGGTTAGGGTTTCAACATAGGAATTTTGGGGGAACATAAACATGCAGGCCTAAGAAGCACTGATCAGATTCTCCCCTTTTTTAACTTATTGACAGTGTAATATAACAACATTACAACAGTAGGTGGTAAGCCAATGGGCTATTCTTTTATTCAACAAATATGCATTAAGTGCCAGACACTGTTCTTGGTACTGTTCTAAGTACTGGAGATACAGCAGTGAACAAGACAGACAAAAACCCCTGCATTTGTGGAACTTATGTGCTAATGGGAACAGGGGTTGTTGGAAGGACAGACAATAAGCAAATATGAAATATGTGTGTACGTGATGTGATGATAACTACTAAGGAGAAAAATAGAGCAGGTAAGGGGAGGAAGGTGGTAACTACAGAGTAAGGGAGGGAAGAGGGATGTGATATAGGATGGTCAGGGAAGGCCCCTTTAGAGAGATGACTTTTGAACATTGACCTGAATGGAGTAAAGGAGAAAGCTATAAGAAAATCTGAGAGACAGCATTTCCAGCAAAAGAACAGTAAGTGCTAAAGGCCTTGAAGTGATCTTGGCATTTTCAAGAAACAGGACATTGTGGCTGCCAGAGTAAATGAGGAAAAGGAGGAAATGAAGTTGGTCAGGTAGCCAGGCACGGAGCAATAGGAGACTGCAGAGAAAACTCTTTCAAGAGGAACAAGATCATGTCCTTTTCAGGGACATTGATGGAGCTGGAATCCATTATCCTCAGCAAACTTATGCAGGAACAGAAAACCAAATACTGCATGTTCTCACTTATAAGTGCAAGCTGAACAAATGTGATCACGTGGACACAGGGAGGGGATTAGCACACACTGGGGCCTGTCGGGAGGGGGCGGGGGGGAGCAAGAGCATCAGGAAAAATAGTTATTGCATGCTAGGCTTAATACCTAGGCAATGGGTTGATAGGTGCAGTAAATCACCATGGCAAACTATGTGACAAACGTGCATGTCCTACACATGTATCCTGGAACTTAAAATAAAATTTAAAAAAAAAAAAAAACCTCTTACAAGAAGTTTTGCTGTAAAGAGGGCCAGAAAAAAAATGGTTCAATAGCCTGGAGAGAGATGTAGGGTGAGGTTTTGTTTTGTTTTCTTTTGTTCATTAAAGTAGGAGAAAATCCAGCATGTTTGTGTGCTTTTGGGAACGATCCAGCAGAGTAGGGAAATTTTAGAATGCACAAGAGCAGAAAGAATAACTGAAGTGATTAACTTGAGTGGGCAAGAGGAGAGTGGTTGGCCTGAGACAGTACTGTAAGTGGGAAAGCAAGTATGTGGGCACAGATGCAGGTAGGTGAGTGGATGTCACTGGCAGTAAAAGCTTATTGAAGTTAAGTGCTCTTTTGATTGCTTTAATTTTCTGATTGAAATAGGCAGTAAGGTCATCAGCAGAAAGTGAGGATGAGAAAGCAGTGTTGGAGGGTCAAGGAGAAGGATAATGTATCAAATAAGGTACACTGATAATGTGTGATCAGTCATGTGAGTCTTCACATGCCCGGTTGGATATGGCTTTGTCCTGGACATATCCAGGCTTTTTCTGCTGATCTTTTGCCCCTCCAAGAGAGGCAGTAAGACAGCTGGGCGCAGTGGCTCACGCCTGTAATCCCAGCACTTTGGGAGGCTAAGGCGGGTGGATCACGAGGTCAGGAAATCGAGACCATCCTGGCTAACATGCTGAAATCCTGTCTCTACTGAAAATACAAAAATAAAAAATTAGCCGGGCATGGAAAATACAAAAAAAAAAAAAAATAGCCAGGCATGGTGGCGGGCGCCTGTAGTCCCAGCTACTCGGGAGGCTGAGGCAGGAGAATGGCTTGAACCCGGGAGGCAGAGCTTGCAGTGAACCAAGATCATGCCACTGCACTCTAGCCTGGGCGACAGAGTGAGACTCTGTCTCAAAAAAAAAAAAAAAAGAGAGAGGCAATAAGACTAGAGTAACCATGTGTGAATTAGGTGGGTATTACTGCTGCTTGATGTGTGTTTGACTTACTGCATTTGGGGTTTGTGGTCCTTCCACTGCTCTCTGGGTTCTTATTCTTCATTCTTTTTGTATCAATTAAAAGGTGTTAAAATAATGCTCCAGCCTGCAATTAAAATATTCATCTCAAATGTGATTTATATGTGCCCAGTGTGTGTTTTAAAACCCTAAGGCAAACAACTTAGAATCACAGCAGTTTTTGAAATGTATAATACTGTGAAATGTATAATACTGTGAAATGTATAATACTGTGAAATGTATAATACTTTTTGTTGTATATTTATGGAAACATGCTTAATAAATTGCAACTCAATTCATTTTTTGTTGTTAATAAAAAGACCACACTTAGTCATGTAGACTTAGCTTGCTCACAAAATGATATAATGATAAAATGGGGTTGATTTGTTGTACCACATGGAAATGAGAAACAGGGTTGAGCAACATCAGAGGAAAGACTATACGGCAACCTTTGGTAGCTGCAGAAAATGGGGACTGAACCTGGGCAGTAATAACAAGAAGGAACAGGTTTGAGCTGAACTTCTGCACAGCAGCGGAGAGGGTTGATGTGGGGCAGAGCTCTGAGAAAGGAATGAATTAGGTTTCATAAAGAGAGATTCAGTTCAAGGATAATCAGCAAGAAGACACTGGTACCAAAGAAAATAGGTGATTCACTTAAGTCACTCCAGTTCTTGCATGGGGAGTGAAAACTTAATAACCTGCAACTATCTGCCTTCACCAGTGGTTAACTTGGCATAGAGCCTGACCCAGAATAGGGAGAGGAGAGTCTAATCATTCTTTTCTATGTGTATGCAAATTATCACTCTTGGTTTGCTAGTATTTCCCACAGGGTGGTGTGAATACCATTACTTGCAATGATTTTAGCTGTTTGATATACATTATTTTTACTTTAACAGTAATATATATTTTTAATGTATATAGAAAAAATATATTTACTGCATCAATTCTGATTTCAGAGATCCTGTTGCTGAAGACAAGAATGAATAAATAAATTCATATAAAAGGTGAACCAATGTAAAACACAAAGCAAATAATAGAACAGGTATTAAGTTGTCAAAAATTACAAATAAATGAAGTTGGAGAAAACCTGTCCTAGGGTATGGGTTGAATATTTATTTTAAGGAGCATATGATAGAAGCCTACTAGATAGTCTATTAATATAATTCTCTTTCTTTTCATAGCTGGGCTTTGCAGATCTAAACCTGGCAGAGTTTGCTGGATCAGGAAATACCACTCGCCGCTGTTTACTGGAAGGCTATGATACCAAAAATACAAGACAGGATAATTCCATTCTTAAAGTAAGCACGTTTCAGGATTTACTTGTCAAGAAATAAGATTATCTGCCTTTAAATAAGCGTATGTATATATTGTAAAGGACAAGATGTGAATCAATGCTGATATGATAAACTGACCATACCACTGAAGTATTCATCACCTAAGGAAAAACCCCATCTAAGTCACAAAAGCAGTGAAAAGTAACAAATCTTCACCTTCATGGTCCTAAGGTGTTTTTCTTTAATATTTTGAGCATTCAGAGAATACATACACCACTACAACATAAGAGTTCATTGGGAGGAAGGAGCATGATGAATTAATGAATACCTTAAAATGTTTGTAGCTCCCATAAGGTGATTTACAGAGCAGCTGTGATAGGTACATAGAAGCCACTGGGTTCTCTTGTAAACTAGTGAAGTGACAGATGGAACCCACTTCTGGGCATCTGCCCGGCTTTTTCCGAGTACCATCAGGAGCCATGTACTCTAGTAGTGAGTGCGAATGTATACTTCATAGAGTTAATTGTAGTATTAAATGAGATTAACTGAGAAAATATTTGTAAAGTACTTTGCACCTAGGAAACTCCATTAGATAAACCTTTTGCAGTGTTTCAGTTAGGTTACCCCATGATGGTAAGTTATCTAATAAGGAAGGAAAATAATTCTGAATAAAAACTGGGTGTTCAGAAGTTAGTGAAGCAAAGAATTACCTTATATTCTACAATTTTCAAACTTTTTTTGCAGCAAATCTTAAGCTCTGCACATATGAAAATGTGTAAAATGGTTATTATAGCCAGTCCAATGCATAAAATGGTTTTTGTAACCCTCACACGAATTTAGCAGCTGGAAAGAAAGGTGGGACAGTGAGTTGATATGGGAAGGAAAATGTTCAGAAGACAAGGAAGAAATTAGAAAAGTATCACAGTATAAACTTCTGTACACATCATGTTGATTATATAGCTTTGTGGTTTTATAACTCTAAGAAGTTTTCAAAGCACTTGCCCATATCTCCATGAGATGAACAGAGTTAGACAGATGAGGATAGATTGTTATTCACATTTTATAGATGAAGAGCTGAGACTAAAGTATCTCACAAAAGTAGTCAGTGGCAGAGCTGGGACCACAGCGCATATCTTCTGCTGCCTGGTCAGGGGTCTTATTTCTTATATGAAAAGATGGATAATTCTTCTCTGAATGACAGTGTTTTCGTTGGAAATTGAAATAACTTTTTAATTTCAGACCCTCACATTCCTAAGAGCCAACTCACGGAGTAGTTTCCTTCTGGCTTCCCATTCATCCTTCCACACCATCTCTCCCACTTTGTCCTACAAAAAAAACATACTTTTTGAAGATTACACCATTCATTCATAACACTCTCTCCTTTCCTAATCTCTGCCATCTCCTGACCCCTTAGGTACCTTCTCGCTCCTATCCATTGATGACTTAGCTCATGGCTCACAGTCTTTCTCTATATCTCTTCTCAGGTCATCATTTTTCCGTGGCTTCACCATCTGTGTGGGCGAGCTAGCCTTGTGGACTATCTTATCTGTATTTTTTTTCCTGATAGCTGATCATCTATGAGTCTAAGGCTTCTCAGTTCCTTAAACTCCCTATCTCCGGCAATATTTTCCTCCTCATCATCTCAGTTCCTACTGCCATGGTCACACTCTAGAGTCTAGACCTTTTTACTCCTAGAACCTTCACCCCCTAAAAAATTTCAATTTAAAGTTTTCTTCCTCCTACACTATCTGTTTCCAGTCCTCTTAGTCTCACTTAGCTGTCTTTAACCTTACCACTTCCCCACTATCCATCAGCCCTGACTTGCTTCCACTTCCCTCTTTATCCAGCTTAAATTTCATGGTCCATAAGGCCAGGAGTTCGAGACCAATCTGGGCAACATAGTGAGAACCCCATTTAAAAAAAAAAAAAATACTCCTGGCTCCTCTGTCCCTGTCTCCCTGCATTGTCTGAATAATCCCCAACTTTTGTTGAACTCAGTTATTAAATATCTATCCTTGCATGCCGAGCATTGCTGAAGAGAATCACACAACCAGACTAGCTGTCATTACTGAAGCCGTGCTCACTGCCATCTGGCAGTCATACTCTACTTCCTTCATATGCTTCCTTTCTCAATTTTAGATACTCTATCTCATACCTTTTTTCTCCTCGTATCCCAACACACTATTCCTGCTCTCAGATACTGGCCTTGCCTTATCCTGTTGAGAAAACAGAAGCCACTAAACTCAAATTCCCTCATCTTCCCATCACAGACTTTACCTGCCTCTCCTGCCTTATCCTTTTTGTCTCCTGTTACAATGGATGGCATGTCCCCTCTCCTATTAGAAGTCAGTCCTTCCTCTTGGCTTCTGGAATCCAAAGTTTGCCTAACCAAGAGCTTTACCCCTTAGATTATCCCCTCTTCTCATCATCTCTACCTCGAATGAACCATCCTCATCAACATATAAAGAAACAGCTCCACTATCTCCCATATTTATTTTAAAAAAGGACAAAAATTAATCTCTCATCTTCTCCAACTACTGTCTCACATCTCTGTTCTACTTCACTATTCAGTTCCTTAAAAGCTGTATGTGCCACCTCCATCTCCTTTCTGAGACATCCATGATATTCAACAGTGCAGTTTTAATGGAGTTGGAAAGCAGACCTCAGGGTTCTATGAAAGAAGAGATGATGAGGAAATCAGTGCAGTAGGATAGATTTGCCATTTAAAGAGAAAAGGAATAGTCATGGAGGTGCTGGGGTGAGGAGATAGGAATGAAATAAGTTTATATAAGATACATGTCAACCATTAACTGGAGAACATACAACAATGTACATATCATTTTATTCATTAAGACTATGAATTTTGCTATGTCCAGCCCTGGGATCACATCTCAGCTCTGCCCTTTACTAGTTATCTGGTTTTTAAAATATCACTTAATCTCCTGAGGTTAAAATGAAAATATTGTTCTCTCATAGGAATACTGAAAATTAAAGGAAAAAATGCATATTAAATACGTAGCTTATGCCTGGCACATAATGAATTCTCAAATCATGATTGTTGTTAATGTTGCTGTTACTATTACCATTATCATTATTATTCCCATAAGAACATAAAGAGGTCCTATGACTGACTGTTAAAGGTAGTCAGCAACTAGAGAATAGCAGCATCTTAGAAAATATTAGAAAAGCTTTAAATCCTGACTGGGCACAGTGGCTCACACCTATAATCCTAGCACTTTGGAAGGCCAAGGTGGTAGGATCACTTGAGGCCAGGAGTTCAAGATCAGCTTGGACAACATAAGCAAGACCCCATCTCTACAAAGGAAAAAAAAAAAAAAGAATTCACCAGGTATGGCATGCACCTATAGTCCCAGCTACTCAGAAGGCTGAGACAGGAAGATCATGAGCCCAGGAGTTTAAGACTGCAGTGATCTGTGATAGCACCACTGCACTTCAGCCTGGGTGACAGAGCAAGACCTTATCTCAAGAATTTAAAAAAAAAAAAAAACTTTGAATTCTGATCTAAAGCTGGAACAAAGGCCAGAAGCTTTTTACCCTTAGAAGCCACCAGCCAGCATCCCTTGAAATATCAACGTGGCAACTTGAAGGAAAACATTACCAGACACTTAGGCACCACAGGAATTTGGGAGTAAAGACAGATAGATTAGCATGGCCACACACCCACAGGATTATTACTGAT